GCACACAGCAGGGGGTTGGAACTGGATGAGCATTGTGCTCCTTTGCAACCCAGGCCATTCTGTGATTCTTTTTCTGGTCAGTATCTTAACTTGGGAGGTCAGCCGCATTTAAAGAACAATGCTTAAAGCATCCTTGCTAGTACCAATCTAATGACTCAAGCTAATTCAAAAAATAACGTTAATTTAGCCCTCAGCATCCCTGACCCACATCCGTGTTTGATAAAGAAACCAGGCTGCCTCATTTCACCCAAGGAATTAAAAGAACCCCGTATGGCGTGAGAGGAAGAGCGGCGTTCAGCCCGCTGTGCTCGGGCCGTAGCGCGCTGTGCTGCTGTGCTCGTTCTGAGCCCGCGGTGCCGCTCCGCGTGCTGCTGGCTGTGCGGGTCCCGGCAGCTGCGTGGGGAGGTGACCGTGAGCTCTGGACGGACACAAACTCGTTACCGCACGTGCTGGAGAAGTTTGGGCGCTGCTCTCGGCTTCTTGCTCGCTGCCTTTCCCGGCTGTCGGAAGCGATTTTCCGGGCCAGCTGTTCCGTGTCCCAAAGCTCCCCCTGCAGCGGTGGGTTCTCATCCGTCTCCGTGCGAGGTGCGGCACAGCACGGCGGTGGGAAACGGGAAATCCAGCTCCCGCTCCCCAGCTTTCCGGTTTCACAGCAGAGCGGCTCGCTTCACCTCTCGCTTTATCTTTGTCTCCTGAAAGCGACGGCACCGCGCACGAAGGGGAGCTGCCGCCGCTCGCAGCGACGGGTCCCGCAGCTCCTGGCGCCGAGTTCGCTGCCGGCTGCCCGGCCGGGACGCGGTGCGGAGCCGCGCCGATCTCTCACCCCCCCCCCGGCACCGCCTCAGGGCCGCCCCGCGCCTCCCAGGTGCCGCCGCCCCCCGCCCCGCTCCTCCCTCTCCCCTCCCTCCGCCCTCTCCCTTCCCTCCCGCACTCTCTCCCCGGCAGCGCTGAGGTTCGGGGCCGCCGCCGATCCTCGCCGTTATGGCCGCGGTGGGTGCAGCTGCGGGGGGCGGCGGGGCGGCGGGCGGGGCGGGCGACACGCGACCTTCACGTCTCCGCTTTCCCCGGCGCAGGTGACGAGGGGCACGGCCACGCGCCGCAGCCGGCTGAAGCGCTCGGACGGCAGCACCACCTCCACCAGCTTCATCCTGCGGCAGGTGAGGGGCGACGGAGGCGGCGTTTCCAACCGGGGGAGCGGAGCTGACCGAGTCTGGCCGGGCCGCGTCCGTGCGTTGCCGTCGTCTCGGGGGGGAAGAGGGGGGACGGCGTGTGCGAGCGGCGGTGCCCCGGGGGCGGCAGCCGTGGGGCTGAAGGCCTCGGAAGCGGCTCTGCCCGCGGGCGCTCAGCCCTCCGTGCTGCGCGGCGTCGGAGCGTCGCTCGCTCGCTTTAAAAGTCCAAGAGGTGAAACGTTTCTTGCTGCGCTGCGCTGCGCTGCGAGCCGCCCGGCCCCGCTTTACGGGAGCGGGGGAAGCGCTGCACGTGGAGCCGCTGAGCCTCCGAGCGAGGAGGGACTCGAGGTCGGCTTTCACGGCGTCCAACGCCTCTCCTGCGGCCGGAGCGCGCCGAAAGGTCGCCGGCACTTCGAGCTTAGGACGCGGCGCTGTCAGAACTGCGCGGTGACCGCGAGCGGCTCGCGCTGTGCTCCTGCAGGGATGGAAGCGCTGTTATGTGAGGGTTGTTCCCATGCCAGGGAGCTGCCGTGGCTTCCAGGGCTCCGAGCTCAGCGCTCCAGGTCCCTTCAGGTGCGCGCACCGTGCTCAGCCCGTGCACGTGGCAGCGCCAGGCTCACGCAGCAGTGTGAAAATACGCCTTTAGGTCAGAAGGAGGGCAGCTGCGCTCCTGAACTTCAGCCCTTCCAGAAAAATGACGGCTCGCTCGTTTCAGTCGCTTTCTAAGGTGACTTTTCAGCCCGCAGAGGTTCGGGCAGCGCTGCCCCTCGGTGTCCCTGCAGCCCTGCGAAGCGGGCAGGCGCAGTAGTGCTGTGTGTGAGATCTGTAGGAAGATCTCGTTGGGATCGTGTGAGCTGCACACCGAAAATAACTGCCGGGCTCCCTCCCACCTCTGTGCCGAGGGAGCGGAGCGGAGGAGCTGCCTCCAAGGAGCGCTCAGGTAAGGTCACAGCAGCTCTCCCTGTGTGTTTAATACCAGGCTCCTCTCCGTGCAGCGGTTCCGCTCCTCCCCGCGGCCGTGTGCGGCTGCTCCTGTAGTGCAGGAGCCCTTTGCGTCCCGTGTTGTTGCTGTGGGGTTTCAGCTGTGTGCAGAGCAGTCCCAGCTGAGCTGTGCGTGCTGGCGGTGTGCGGCTCCTCTGCTAACAGCCCGGCTTTGAGGGCATGGGGGGAAAAGTGTCCTAACAGCAGGATTGCCTTCAAGTAATGCTCTGGCTGTGTGCACGTACTTATTGTCCTTAAAGAAAAGAACAATTCTGTAGTGTTAATATCTCTTGAAGACGTTAAGACTGTTTTGGATCTTGTGTGTGATGAGCTGTGACTTAGTTTTCACACTGCAGTGGAAGTTTTATCATCACTTTCCTTTTGCATAAAGGGACGGATGCACGAGTCCCCCAGGCTTGAACTCTTTACACAACTTTTCTTTATGTTGCATTTAATTACTGGTTTAAGTTCATCAACGAGTTTAATTTACAAGAGGATAATTGCTTGGACAAGCTTATGGGTTGGCACTGCTGTCAGCACCACGTGGCAGCATCACGGATGTCACTTTGAGCTGTGTGTGTCAGCAGTGGCAGAGCTGCGAGCCTCCAGCACTGGGCTTCATCAGCCCGACACAGAAGCAAGATTTCATGTGATGTGTACAGGATGCCACTTGTGAATGAGGACAGAAAAAACCTTTTTGGACTTGGAAGACAGCAGAGTAAGTGTGGATATCTGACAGTGCCTGCATGCTGGGCAGTGTCTGATGTGGGGCCAGCTCCAGTGCCATGCTGTGTGAGGATCCATAGGAGGAAATGTGGAAACCACATCGTGCCACCAATAACCATCAGTTCAAGTGCAGATCCGTCAGCAGTCCTGGAGCAGTGGCCCAGAGCTGGGGCTGTTCTGAGGGCCCTGAACAAGGCTGGCTGTGCAGCACCGCTCCTCTGCCAGCCGTGCTGGTGCTGCTCGGTTGTGTTTCAGAAGCCCTTAAGGGACAGAAGTCAATTATCAGTGTGGTGAAGTAAGGGAATAAGTAGGCCAGCTGAAAACATATGCTTATAATTTTGCAGATGCTGGAATAATAATTCATTGGGGTTTTTTTTTTTTTTTTTTTTTTCCTTCAGAAGACTTTGTTTCCACCTCTTATTTCGACTTGTAATGCGGTTTGTTTGCTTGCTGGTTTGACTTCTGGTAACTAAATTTCCATTACCTGCCATTTTCAAATGGAATTTATTTTGTTGAGTGAAGTTACAAGGTAAGCAACAACAGCAGTAGCACAAAAGTAATGTTACAGCTCTGCTTCTTGCCCAGTGCAAGTGCCCAGTGGCTGTGCTGTGGTCCTGGCTGCGGAGCAGGGCAGAGGCAGGTGTGTGTGCCAGGATGTCTTAATGCAATGTGGGGAGGAAAAAACTCGTGGTAAATGGCTGTATCTGTGTTACTGGACTAGGAGTCCCCAGGGATAGTCAGTGTCTGAAGCAGAGACTTTGATAGTCGGAGATGAGGGCTCTGCAGAGAATGTGAGGCCCCATCCCTTCCCCCTCTGCTGCCCTACATGCAGCCCTGCCCGGGGGGCTGCTCTGCCCTGGGGCACGAAATGCTCACCTGTGTCTTCTCCTCCAAGGTCTCTGCTCCGTCTGCCCTCCTTTGTAGAGATGTTGGATTGAGTCTCGTGATGAAGGATGGGTGGGTGGGTTTCCTCTTTGATGGAGAGGTGTCAATTTTGAATAGCTCAGCTCTCCACAGCGCAGCTAAAATTGAA